AGAGAGAGATATATAGAGAGAGAGAGAGAGAGAGAGAGAGAGAGAGAGAGAGAGAGAGATCATAAACTAAACAGCACTGTTGGGGATTTTTGTTTTGATAGAACCTCATTGTCATGTCATGAAACATCAAGTGGTGATCTTAAAATATCAACTTAAATTTAAAAGATTTATAATGGCACATTGTCATTGTATTTGTGACAATAAATAAATGAATGAATAAAAACAATGGTCATGAACGAATATAGTTTTGTGGATATAATTATTTGTGTTGCAATTCTGCTCTTGTCTAATAGGATTTTGGTCAAGATTGTGTATTTGGAGTAGATGGGGTCATCAGCATTTTTTGAATTTTTTTTTTTGTTTTTTACTTATCCATTCTCTTTATCCATTTTACGTTTTCTACAAACCACAAACTGAAGGAGCTGCTGTACGAACCAGCGAGCTGTGATGGAAGCCACATACTTTATGCTGAAAACTGTTTTTGGGTTTGATAAAACACAACATGTGTTTATCTACCCTGCCCTTAACATAGCTGTCACCACGTGTGCCACTTTGCATGGCAATCCCTCCAAGCTACCCAAAGTAGTGCTCATTCGCAGGACTTGTGACAAAGACTATTTCTAATTCATTAAAGCCAAAAGGAGCGATTCAAAAATTTATGAACAATCTGTCCTGCAACAAGCAGTGATTTCTGTGACTGTAGGGCTGTGGAGACGTGGTGCAACAGAAAGGAATGTTCTGCCTCCTTTCATTTAACACAAAATCACACACACCAGTGGATCTGTTGCACGGTGTAAATAAACTATAGGTATTGCAGACACTTGCAAAAAAAAAAAAAATCTGTAAATATTTCAAAACAAATACCTTTGAAAAATGATGATTATGATGAAACTTTTTGTAAAAAATTTTCATGACAAATTTACTTGACAGGAGCATTTGATTATAAATCCATACATATACAATAAATATTATTCATATAAATTACATCATATTTTCCGAATGTGATAAATATGCAATACTTTTTATACTAAATGTGCCATATTATATGTTTTAACAAAACACTATCAAACTAAAACTACCTTTTTTGTGACAAACAATGCACAGTCTACATAAATCATATTTACTCCGAACCTAATAATTTGAAATACTGAAATTAAAAATACAAAATACAGCACAAATTTCAAGATAATTTTGCCTACTATAAAGCCTACTATAAAATTTGTCCAAACTTGGTCCAATTTCTTTTTCTGTTTTTACACACAAACTAAAAAAATAAAAATAAAGTAAACGAACATTGAACCATGTCATCCTGCATATTTTGTGCTTGTCATTAAAATGTGTCTTTTAAAGAACTTATATCTGTGTTGAATTATGATTATTATAAATCAGCAAGTTTTCAGTAATCTAATAACCCAACTATTGCATTAAAGGACCAACATATATAAGTCGGAATGCCCTAATAGCGCTATAACAACTATAGCGTACAGACTAAATCTTAAAAAACGAACATTTCATTTCGTTTGACGATTGATTTCCTAAAAATAACGTCACATTGCCATCTAGTGGCTAAATAATTAATTGCGTGCTCTAAGAGAATAACAAGCAATCAAACCCGCAGTTTCCAGTGGATACGCTTCTTATAATTTTGCCGGCGCATGACTTGGCTGCAGCGTTGTGAGGTTTCGTTTTATTTTATTTGATCTTATTTCATTTTAAAGGTTTTGGTGAATTTTACAGCGTTTTCAGTTCGACAAAAGCGTCACTGTAAATTAGGGGCTGCATGAAAAGAAACTGAAGTTTACTGTATGTGTACAGTTCACAAATTAAATGTGCAAAAGAAGAAATCATTAAAAGGTAATCACCTTCTGGGTAATAGAAAGCTAAGTTTTCATTGCATTCAAAAGGTTCATTGACTTTATTCATTAGTTTGAAACATTTTAATCAGCCAAAATGTCCATTTATGCGAAGAAATTTCCCGCCCAACAACGTCTGTGCGCCGGAAATGTTCACCGGCAAATAAAACAGGGCACATCCATTGGGTTGTTAGTTGGCCAATCAGATTGTTAGGCGGAAGTGACAACCGGAAATACATCCTTTGCAATTTCTTGGACAAGCTGTCTTCTTGCAAGTGTCAGCAGACTTTTAAAGTCTGTTATGTTCACGTTCATCCAAGGAGTTGATTGTATGAAAGTCTGCAGTTCGCTCTGTTTATGTTTGTTAAATTTAAGGCTGGGAGTGTTCAGGAAATGGATCAGATCGGTTTGTTTACATGGTGAATCAGCTGATAAGAAGCTAAACTCCAGGGACACTGCCTTTACAAACTGTGTCACATGAGCAGTTAATTATCGACCAGACGTGTTTTCATGGATAAAACATAAGGAAGTGACTAAAGGCTGAAGAAAAGGGTTGTGTTTGGGTTCACACTGTGCTAGTCAACAATGCGAAGCTAACATCTTACAGCAAGGCGTTAGCAGCGTCAGGTTATCGGATTGTCACCGGATCCGTGGCCCGTTTTGAAGGCTCTTCTTCAGCGTTGTCTTCATGACAACATGCCCTGCTCCTGTGGAGACTGGAGGCGGTGGATTCGGCCTTTGGTCGTCGTGTTGTACATTTTGTTATTGATAGTCGCCCTCCCGTTGTGCATCTGGGAGCTGCAGAAGTCAGAGGTAAGTTAGGTTTGTCTGGATATCTGCTGCTTCTTCAGTTCCAGATTATGACTTGTGCATTACATTAATAGCAGGGTATTTATTTGGTAATTGGTGAAGTAGTAATACTCATTTTCACTATCATTAATAAATGAATGTCAAATAACAGTTATTCAAAGTTGTATTTGAGAAAATGCACTTATAAAGTCTACTGTAGGATAGTTTTTATATTATATTATATTATATTATATTATATTATATTATATTATATTATATTATATTATATTATATTTCCTGCAGGGAAAAAAAAAGAATCTGTTGCAACAATGCGTCTCTGTAAAACCCAAACGCTAAATTAAAGGGGAATTGTGTGTCTGTGTTTTATATGATTGCAGGTTGGAACTCATAATAAAGCATGGTTCATTGCGGGGATATTTGTGTTCATGACCATACCCATATCATTATGGGGTATTCTCCAGCATTTGGTCCACTACACTCAGCCAGAGCTCCAGAAACCTATTATCAGGTAAAGATGTCAACAACCCTGTCACCTACAAATAATAAACTTAAAACACTTCCTAAAACTTTTATTGTTGATTTTTTTTTAGGATATTATGGATGGTCCCAATCTACAGCTTGGACAGTGTGAGCGATGCAGTTTTGAATTAAAGCCTTTGAATAATCCATAGTTGGGAGATATTTCTTCAAAGCATGCAGTAATCTTACTGAGGTGTAAATTACCTCACTTTACTTATTCCTCTTTTTTTTCCCTTCTAGTGGATAGCACTGAAATACCCCAGGATAGCAATTTATGTGGACACGTGCAGAGAATGCTACGAGGCGTATGTCATCTACAACTTCATGACGTTCCTGCTTAATTACCTGGAAAATCAGTACCCCAGCTTGGTGATGATGCTGGAGGTCCAGGAGCAGCAGAAACACCTGCCCCCTCTGTGCTGCTGCCCACCATGGCCAATGGGAGAGTGAGTTCCTTAAAGAATAATCCCACATTTACAGTAGCAGTAGAAAATGTGGTGCTATTTGTCTCATTTAAACATGAGAAAGTACAGGAAATGTTCAAAATAGACTAAAAATTTAGTGTAAAAATAATTAATTGATCAAAACACACTAGCTGTCCAGCACGTTGACAGCAGTATGATGATTTGGACTTGTCAGCTGTAGAACCTGGGCACTCAGTTTCATAATTGAAAATGTTCATCTGAGTTTGTAGTTTTCAATTCTAGGATCGGATTATTTACATCCTGATATTATATATGTTAAATGTTAGAATTTACACTGGGTGTACTTTCTTCTTGCTGTGACTGCACCAGTGTGCAGATATATTTTTTTACATATTTTTTTAAAGAACCAGTTACATTTGCGTAAACACTGGCAACATTAGCTTAATTTAACTAACTTTAGCATTTTTATTTTTAAGGTTTCAGTCTGTGATTTCATCGGTGCAGAGAAAAAAAGTTTCTTGTTAAATGTTTTTGTCTTTCAGTCTCAAAGTTGTGATTTAACTGTTTTTTGTCCACAACCAAACAGGGTTTTACTGTTGAGATGTAAACTGGGAGTTTTGCAGTATACTGTTGTAAGACCTGTCACAACAGTAATTGCTTTGTAAGTAAAACAACATTTTCTTACACTTGATGTAGTTAATATTATACTCTATATTGTTAAATATTTAGTTTATGTGTTTATTTCCCTTTACTAGAATCTGTCAGTTGTCTGGAGTGTATGACGAAGGCAATTTTAGTTCGGCCAATGCGTGGACGTACCTGGTCATCGTCAACAACATGTCACAACTGGTAAACATGTTATTTTTTTTATTATATAAAGAGGGTTAAAATTAAAAAAAAAGATCTTGATTTAGGATTATAACTTAGTGCTTTGTGATTATGATTTGTTCTAGTTTGCCATGTACTGCTTGGTGCTGTTCTACCGTGCTCTGAAAGATGAGCTGAGTCCCATCAGACCGGTGGGAAAATTCCTGTGTGTCAAAATGGTTGTGTTTGTTTCTTTCTGGTAAGATAGTCGTCCCAGTTTATTGTTGTGACCTGAAATATTTCCATGCAATTTGGCTTTTTGTTTGGGGGAAGTAACAAAAAAAGAAAGAAATGTTGCATAAATTGAGATTTTGTAAACTTTTTCCCCATCTTTTTCCAGGCAAGCTGTATTAATTGCTTTGCTGGTAAAAGTGGGCATCATCTCAGAGAAGCGTACTTGGGACTGGCAAAGTGTGGAGGCTGTAGCTACCGGCTTACAGGTAATATAAACTGCATATTAGTGATGTTGGTTACTACCAATTTTCTTTTCGATACTGATACCAAGCAAAATTTGACTGGTATCGGCGATACTGATCCGATTCTGATACTATGTGATAACACACATAATGTGTCTGGTAAATCTTAAAGAGTAGTGTTTTTCAAATAACTGCTTTATAAATAATGCATGACAGTAATTTGTTTAATTTAAAAGTCTTTTAAATATTTTTAGCACAATTTAAAATTCTTATTCTAAAGAAATACACAAAAATTTTTTAAATAGTGAATAAAGGTGAGAAAAAAACATTCTAAAAGTTGTTACTTTGTATATTTTGTAGCATTGTTTGTGGGTTTGCAAGAAGGTCCCTGGCCAGAGCTAATGCTGTTTGGGGGTCCATGGCATGAAAAAGATCGAGAACCCCTCATCTATAATGTAATTACAGTCAACTGAAGCAGATTTTATGTTAAAATGACCTGCCATACATCTACAGACTAGGTGACTGACTGAGCACAGGCCACTGTGCTGATGCATTACTCAAGTGGAAGAAAAAGTAGTTCCCTACAACCACATATGATTTAGACAAGATTTGAATAGTTTAATTATTTTCCACTATTTTCCTGTTAATGATATAGATTATGTGAAATAACTAAAGTATCAAAGTATTGATATTTTGATTTTAGTATCGATTCTAAAACATAATGTTCTGGTATCGGCAGTATCGATATTTCAGTATCGATCTGCACGTCACTACTGCAAATAGCTGAAAATAAGTTAAAGCCTGAAAAAAATCAACAACCATTTTAATTTGTCAGACCTAACATGTCCTATTTTATTTAGGACTTCATCATATGTGTGGAGATGTTCCTCGCAGCTATTGCTCATCACTTTAGCTTCACCTACAAACCTTACATCCAGGAGGCTGAGGAGGTGTCTTGCTTCGACTCTTTTATGGCAATGTGGGACATCTCTGACGTCAGAGCAGACATTTCTGAACAAGTTCGCAATGTTGGTAAGTACCTCTGATGACTTGGTTGCAATCTGTAAAACTTTAAAAATAAAAATATTTCAAAGCTGTGTCTGTTTTCAGGGAGAACAGTGATGGGTCGTCCAAGGAAGTCCTACTTCGGCGAAGCACAAAATGACGGCGAGAGGTCGGGCCTTCTCACTTCGGCGTCTCAGGACGCCATTACTGAAGCTGCGCCCAACTTGGCGTCATCAAGAGGCCAGTACGAAGGCCTGGGTAGAACCCTCACGCCACACTCTTTGTCAGCACCTGCTGGGCTGGACTCGGCTGCGTGGGACGAAGGGTTAGAGTCCAGACCTGAATCGACCCAAGAAAAAGAAAGGACCGACCAAACCAAAGAACCGGAGGAGGCAGATCTCATTGTGATCACTTAGCGTGGACTTGTGTCACAAACCGATAATGGTTGGGCAGGTCCCAGTCTGAGCCTTGCAAAGTTGCCTCAGACATTAATGATGTAAATGAAACAAAAGTTTTATGAAAGGGCACATCAGCCCAAATAACATTTTTAGGTTTACAAAAGTGCAAAAAATAAAAAATAAAAGTAAAATAAAAAGTGGTGACAGCTTCAAGAATGTTCAGTAAAGTTATGGCACTAAAATAAATTTTACCCAGTTTTATGTTGGCCAAGAGGAATGTGCAGCTCAACAAGCTTTGCTAAAATTTGTTGTAACTGGGATAAAAATAGGAAATCCATCATAAAGAGTATCTCTTTTAAGGACCTAATAAACTAATCAGTTTAGAAATATGCAACTTTTAATTTAAATGTTTAAAAAACGTTTTGGCTCATAAAATTTTATGGTTTTAACTGTATTGACTGAGAGGAGTAATTAATGAAGTGTTACATAAAGCACAGCATATCTTTTCTGTTTAAGGTATGTAAATTTGCTAGTCAAGGATTGGGAGGGGCAATCAGTTTTCATTTTTCAGATGCAATCTGTTTCTGTGGGTATATTAAGAGAGGGGTTAAAGTACAGTATGCTCTTAAAGCAAGGCTATTCAACTGACAGCCCGCGGGCCACATCCGGCCTGCGAGTGAATAAAGTTCGGCCCGCCAATTGGTGCATTCTTTTCTTAAACCCAAATCCCCAGTTTTCCACTTTAACTCCGATAAGTTCTTTAGACATATTTGGTATCTACAGAAACATCAGAATGTTGGCTACAAGCTGGTAAAATCTATTTCTATGAACATCCAAGACAGTTAAAACTACAAGCAGTGGAAGATAAAACTATGAAAGTGAAAATAAAATTGGTTTAAAAATTTGGCAAGTCAGAGATGTCAAAATATGTGTTAAATAGTGTGTTATTTTTGATTTTGATATTGTTATATTATCACTGCTGTTATTACATAGGATTCTGTATGTTGTATTCATGATTAAATACAGCAAAATAAACTATTTCAAAAGGTAAAAGATCTTTGTAATACTTGGTTTATTTACAGAATGACCTTAATTGCTGGATGTTCGGCCTCTGTTCTATTGACCTGCAGTAAACTGTAGCCCCAGGAACAATTTAGTTGAATAGCCTTGTCTTAAAGTATTAAAACAACACAGTTCAGCCTGGAATTGTTAAATCCGTTTAAGGTGTGGATTTAGGTACTGACATTGGTGTAGAGTTTAAAATTTCAGCTTTTATCAAAATTACATGTATCAGACTGACATTATCAGCATGTTGCATTCCTTTTTTTTCCTTGTGACACCTGCCAGGATGCATCAGATTTGATGTAAATGTTCAACTTTTTGATAAATCAATAAAAGAAACATCTTTAATAACATTTCATCTTGCATTTATTAAAATGTCACAGGTATTGGTAAGCAGTTTTACAAATAAAAACCTCTTTATTACAACTGGTCCATTATTTAAGAATAATCATGTGATAAGTACATTTTATGTATGTACTAAAGTACAATGTACAAACTGTAGCATGACTTCAAAGGCTATTTCTACTAAATGTTCTGATAGCTTTGAATCAGCCAACTATTGGACGTTACTAGGTTTGTGTTAGAAGACTAAGGCTCAGTCCCAATGCTCAGTGCGCACCCTGCGCCCCTCTATGCAGTGTGGATTCCGTCGGTGCACATAGTGTTTGAGTGCGCAGGTTACAAGTGTGCAAAACAATTGAGAATTGGGACAGCACAGATTACATCATCAAGTTGTGCCACTGCGTCGTAACTGTGACATCCAACACGGATGGCATTGTTTTTATTGAACCAATATAACAGAACAAAGACAAAAAAATAAACATACATACGTTAACGACCATTTCACATTTACATATCTTAATTATCTATTCTAACTGTCTATTCTATAAAATTCCTCCTTAATGTCAAATTATGAAAAGTTTAAGAGATCACCATGACTATTAACTAAGTAAACCAACTGACGTAGAAATCTTTAGTAAAAGTAAATCAAACAAAAAACAACAATAAATATATAAAATAAGGGAAAATACATAAAAATAAAACAATAATGAAATAAAAAAGGGTTTAAATCAGATTAAATTCATTTTTCAATACTTTATCAATTGGAAGAGATTTTGTGAAACATTTGTGAATATAAAATTTAGCAAACAATGTGATATAATTTTCAAATATTCATTTTTTAATTGATATTCCATATTTAATATCTTTCCAGGAAAAGGGATTTATTTGTGGAGACTTAGCGATCAACCAGTTGTGTACTTAATTCCAAAATCTATGTGAAATCTCACATTAAAAAAAAAAAAAATGTTCAGTTGATTCCACTGATGATTTACAAAATTATCATGTCTCCATTTCAAATTTGAATATATTTTAAATAAATTCTCGTATTTTTCATTTAAAATTTTAAAGTGAACTTCTTTAACTTTAGGAAGGATTGGAAATTTCAAAAATTTTGTTCTAACTGATCAAATTTCTTGTTTGTTGAAATGTTTTAAATAAAATGTTCTCTTAGAGGATCCGGGCTACATTTCGTTAATTAAAATTTTCATAATGGCCCAAATTTGTTTTTCCATGATCCATCCTTCCATGAATATTGCTTTTCTTCTTCTGCGGTCTGCATTTTAATACCAGACGTCACATGCAGCAATGAATTGTGGGTAACACACTTCACTGAAGTCTGCAAATATGCAGACTTCACGGAAGGGCGGAAATGGTACCCAAAATGGGCGGGGTGAAGGGCAGATGTGGAGAATGTGGGACACACTACGCACTCAAACCCTTCAACATGAACGCGCATTTGAAGTGCACAAGGGCGGAACGAGGGTGGGAGTGCAGGTATTGGGACAGGGCCTAACTAGACAACTTCTAAGCAGAAACTTCCATGTGTCTTCAAAAAAATCTGAAAATGGATGTCTGGTATTACATTAAAAAGGACACTAAAAAAAGAGAAATTTAATGCATTTCCCACAGACTATGTGAAAGTGAAGAAACCCAACATGTTTACAAATAAAAAGTTCTGCAAATTAAGTTAACATTAGTCCATTTGCACAGGCGTGTTTTCTAACCGAGCTGAAATGGAGATGGTGCTTTCGTGAAGCCTCACAGCGAGGCAGACCCAGTCGCCAGCTCGTACCTCCAGAGGCTCCTGCAGAACCACAGCTGCCTGCTTCCAGTGAGAGTTCTGGCTGAGCGTGCTCACACTGATCTCCCTGTCCAAGTAGATGTGGTACCAGAAGGGAATTGCAGTTATTCTGCCCGCAGAGATGGTCTGGACCTAAAGGTCAGAGATAAAAAAAAAATGCTTAAAAACTGCAGTCAGCTGTTGGATGCTTAATTAAAACTGCCAATAAAAAAACTTTTCTTTTACTATTATGCAATATTTAAGGTATAGTAATATGGATAAACTGCAGAAAAAAAATAATGTAACAGTAATCACAATAAAGAAGGGTTAGTTTGTGAGAAAATGAACAGAGTCTGACTGCGAAGCAGGTCAGCACAGCTCCATCACCACACTGATACCATTTTATTTAACTCAGACCATGCTACAGTCACAAGTTCAACACGTATTACTTACTTTGACTTCTCTGTTTGTATAGTTTGCGTTGGCATCCATAAGGTTCAAAACAAAAAGCTCCAGAGCCTCACTGAGACGTCTGCATTCTAGTGTGGAAAAGTCCAGGAAAACATGGACTGGTACCTGAAAAACAGAAAACACTCTTAACAAGTATGAAAACCCATACACAAGTTCCATTTTAGCTGCTTACCAAAACACAATGACTCCTCAGTTTTTATTTCAGGGTATTCACATTAAAATTTGAATACAGTTTTAGTAAAGACTGGATTTACAAATGTAAACCATTCCCATTTGTGTTTATGAAGCTGAGTACAGAACAGAAAATAAGTAATCCAGGACTAAGCTTTGAGGATAGAACGACAAGATTATACTATGCTAAAAATATCTAAAGAAAACAAACCAGCTCTGGGACAACATTCTTTGGACAGCTGAAGCTAAACTGACCCTCAGTTTAGGATATGGAAACGGAGCAAAAATTATCTAGAGGAGGTTCGAACTGGAGTATCATACAGTATGAAGCACACACGACTGGCGCAGCAGAACAGTGTGGGAATACATGACTTTCAGTGGCACAAAGTCACTCAAGGGCTTAAATGATCTGACATAAGCAACTGGACAAATTAGAAAGTGGAGAACAAAGTGGGTTTTACTCTGCTTCACAGTACAGATTAACAATAACCCAAAAACATGTAAAAAAAACAAAGCATGAAGAAACTGATATGGAATGTTCTGCAACGAAAATATCAATGTATTGTCCTCAATGGGTTTCTGTGGACAAAACTATTAATATTAGTTGTAGATAGCTCTTTAAACAACCACAGAGCTATCCACAACAGGTAAGATATTAAGTGTTCATAAACTTTCCACAGAATCCTACTTCAAAATTTTTGACTTACTTTTTCCAGAAAAAAAAACAAAAACAAAACAAAAGTAAACTAACTTAAACCTGATTTCAAGTCAGATCATGGTATTGAAGGCTACTTTACACTTTCAAAGGTAAAACATTATTCTTTAATCACAGCTATTATGAACACAGTCATTGGCAAGTTGTCTGTAACAATGGAAGTAAAAAAAAAGATGTAAGTAAGAAACCAAAAAACACGACTAATAAATCAAACACCTCAGGCTTTTCAGATTTAACAAAGCAGTCTATGCTTCAGGCCAGAAATCTGTCAGAGAATCTAAAGTGGCAGCGTATTGAAAAAAAAAGAAAAAAAATCTCAACCCTCCATGTTACAATTGTGTCGACCATAGAACGCACTGTTTGATGTGCTTGATGTAATGTGATCTGATGGATTCGGGCAGGAATCTCTTTGGGACAAGCTGTTTGTGCGCGTGTGTGCTGTGTGTGACGGTTGTGCTTGGATGTGCCCACCACAGAGGGCTTCACAGATCGCATCTGCTAAAACAAACAGCTGTCCCGCAAGAGGGAGGTCTGTAAAACTACCAGTACAAACATGAGACGCTGAAGGAAAACTTTGATTTCCAGACCAAATAAAGGAAAAGAATTTGAAAGGATTGGGGCAGCTGGCAAGCGCACAACAAACAGGAGTGCAGAAAACACTGTTCTGGACAACAGTATTTCAAATCAAATACTTGTTCAACAGGAAAAATCCCCTGCATAAGATAAAAAAAAAATAATAATAAAAATCTGATTTCATCATTGGTTGTCTATTAAAATCAAGCCAAGAAACTTAAATGTACGGTGCTCGACTGTTGACTATGTCATAAAAATCTTTGGTTAAATGATTTGACCGTACAAACATCCTAGACAGAAAAGTAACATATAAACAATATTCTATAGCTGTATTTTTGTGACTTGGTATGACTAACAATTACTTACCACAGTACAACAAAGTTTTCCGGGGTGAGATGAATTATTCTGTGATGTTTATTTTCATGAACACAAAGTTAAGTTTATAGTGTTAAAAAATCTGTGACCTTTAGAAATTTCTAAAACAAAAACTTAATACATTAGGTCAAAACGTTGATGAAAACCAAGCACATTTGTTTCAGGTAAAGAAACTTGTGCATGTTGCAGAACAAGAAACTACTTTGTACCACAGTGGTTTTCAATTTTGCTCTAGTACATCCACCCCACCCCCACAACCCCTAAGAAAAAAATAATAAAATGAAAAGTAGTTCAACCATAAATTTCCTCTCAGTAATTTGGTCGAATGTTTTGTCTTTGCAGCTGTTTCTGGTTGAACAGTAAACAAACACACTAACGGTAAAACAAAAAGTGGACTTCTGCTGTCAGTATGCTCCAGGGCAGTTGTGGCTACAATGTAGGTTACCACCATCAGTGAACACGCGTACGAATGAATAATGCATGAAAACTGTAAAGCGTCATTGAGTGTGTAGAAAAATGCTATACAAGACTAATGCGTTTTTATTATTATTGTATTTTTTATGTATACTTACAGTAAATTGATTGATGAAAGGAGCGATATTAAACCCCAGAGTTGGCTCCCGTCCCTGGACAGCACTTTCTAGTAGCAGTGTGTCCGACTCAACCAGCATTCCATACACAACAATCTTCTCTGGAAAAATGTGCCCTCCTTCTTCTAGCAGACACCTGACAAATAACACAATGTTACAATGGGGAAAAAAATCCAAGATATCTAAAAAAATACAAAACTTGTTATGGCTGATCAATATACGACAGTGTGGAAATTAACTACTTGTTGTATGTACTCTTAGTACTTTGATGAACAAATTATTATTATACTATTAATTTAATTATTATTTTTTTCTAATGCATAGAAGGCAGCGCCTGGGTGTTGTAATTTCATTGTTCTCATGTACAATGACAAAGGCATTCAAATCAATTAAACAAAACAGAAAAAAATGTACATTTCCTTGAACTGAAGTGACTTGTATGCAGATGATACACTCCTATTTTCAAATGATTCCAGGGTAGACAGAAGAGAGGAAAACAAGGGTTGTTGTTACCTGGCCAGTGAAGCTTTCTCCATCAGCTTTTGTCGAATGAGGCCACATGTTTCCACACAATCCAAAATGATGGCGCTCCACAGCTTTTCCCGGGATGGCCTCTGAAGGACGCCCTGCTCATCCTCTGTGTGGTTGAGCCAGAACTCTAGATGCTGTTCTGAGACACTATTGGACTGAGCAAGTCTCCTCAGTACTTCTTGTTGCTTGTTCTTTTCCACAGAGCTGTAGGCTTTCACACCACCTTGGTGAGCAGCGATGAGCGAGAGCAGAGAAAAGCCCTCAGACACATCCAGCACATAAAACAAGCTACTGTCAGGTGCAGGCATGACACTCACTTGCTCCTGGTTTTGTTTTTGAACTTTCAACTTTGAGATGAGCTTGGATAATGCACCGCAAAAACTTTGATGGTAATCCTGGTTGTTCAGGAGTGCCATCTCCGAACATTCCAGGGTACTAAAAGTTTCAGGTTGACTGTGATTTGTTTGGAGACAAGCCAACGCACTGCACAGCTCGGCTTCCGAGTTTGAGATGGAGTTCCCAGAATGCTGCAGCTCCACGTGCTTGTTAAGATGGATTTTACGACCATCTCTCAGCACGGCGACACTGCTGAGTCGTAAGTAGGCATCTTGACAGGAAACTTCAACAATCAACTCATCTCGCGGCTTTAACACAAAACCTAAGAAAGGAAAAAAAATACCTTTGACACAGAATCAAAACTCTTTACATACATTTGTGCAAATCTGTTCATAGTGACAGCTGCCCAATACCATCAAGTTGGATAAACTTATAGTTTGATAGATTTATTACTGAATGGAAAAACAGAATTTTGAAACATTGACCAGGTTAATAAGTAAGTTTAACATTTGATTAGTTTGATCAATTGTGAATATCACATGGATCAAACAGAAAGGTTGTGTAATATAGTGCACAGATTTAACAAAAGCATCAAAAGGCAGACAAATGAAACTAATAGGAGGGAAAAAAAGAGCAAATCTAAATGTGAAATGAGATTCAGGAGACCGGGTAGAACAACATCTGTTCACGTCACCATGGGGCTCGTTGGGGAATTTGTGGGGTGGGGGGTTGTTGGGGATGCATATTTATCACCTGTAAGGATTTTATGAACACTAAAGACTGTCGCAGCGGCTGGGACACGTATGTTAGTTATCACTGGGAAATACGGTGTCTACTTTGAGGCTGCCGTAACCAATTAGCAGAGCAGTGACAGGTTGTTGGGGCTGGTCTGTGAAATAACGCACTGCAGTGTCTACAGGAAGATATTACCAAATGTCAATGGCTGTTAACTCCCACCGACCTGTGATGACAGCAAAGAAAATAATAGAATCCCAAAGGGTTTTTTGGCAGTTTTAGTTATGCGCATACATCTTTCATCTCTTTGTTGCAACACCCAAGAATTGCACAACATATGCTATATTATTACTAAAATGTACTAATGGGTCACTGACAAAGAGCTTTTCATTTCATTCTGTTTATTGTTTTAAAAGGACTGTGCACATTATTTAACATTCAAAGAATATAAATGAGCCGTAGTTAGCACAACAGCTGATTTACATCCATTATCCTTTTCCTAATTCTGTAAATGCATTATAGATTTTATACTGGTTTCTGTGGTGTCAGTTTATATTATTTGTTTTTATCTATGTGAGTTTACAGCGACACAGTAAAATAAACAGACCTGGTTAATGGTCTGTTTACATAAAAAAGTAAAACTCCACAACATAAACTTTGTTTAAACGGTTATCAAGTCTTTAAGGTTAGACTTGATTTAAATAGTAAGAATTTTCTCTTTTCACAAACATATTCCGAGCACTGGTTTACCTGGTTTTCTTATCATAGATTCAATGATTCTTCAACAAAAATTCACACCAACTGTTCCATCCTACAAACCCCAATTAAATAACAAATACCTATAAATTAAAAAAAGGAATCCCCCTTATACAAACAGATGGTGCAAAAATGAAAAGCATGTTTCATTTATGTCTATTAGAGCCTTACATGTTGTGATGTGGATGGGGTAGATGGCCTGCTCCCAGCAGGTGTCTTCCTGAGGTCCAGTGGACAGACTGTTCTCCTCGTCCAGGTGGAGCTGGAACCACACAGCCAGAGCGTCCAGTTGTCCTTCCTGAGTGACAGGCAGCCGGATCTCCCGGACTTCCCTGGAGCTCAAGCCTTCCAGTTCCTGCAGGTTTCAGACACACCACAGTTAAAGAAGTGGCCGATCTTTGACTAACAACAAGTTACTTTTCCTCACAAAATAAAGGCTGAATGAATGGAGTCCATATGCCAGGAGTAAAAAACTTTATGAATCATTTACACATTAATATATATGCCTTTGTAAATCAAATGTCTGATTCAGAACTTGACAACTGCTTTTAATTCAGCTTATTGATGATAATTTTATATGTTAAATCAGTTGTAAAATATTTATTGAAAACAGAAAAAACAAGTATAATAGTAAGCCTCATCTGTTTAACATCCTTACACGAGGGAGAATAAAGATGAACATTATCTTTTCTAACCATTTTAAAACAACATTGTTAACAGTTAGCAATGATTGAAAATCATAAAAACAGCTTGTAACAGTCTGAAGTTAGAATTAAACACCTACAGTATCTAAACCTCATGAGAATAAAAAAAAACTTGAGGAACCAAAGAAACAGTCTTCAGATAGTAAAAAGCCAAATACAACATGAAACTAAAGTTGTTATCCATCTTTTCTGATTGAAAATAAAGAAACTCACAAAGGATTTCTCCCCTAATTCTAAGCATTTGATAGCAGCCAACGCAGCTTTATTTCACTCACTGGTTGCATGAATACCTCCAGGTTCATCATTACAAAATATCTGAGAGAACCGTCTCTTTAGCCATGCAAATACTTTTAAACAATTAGTTGTGCACAGGGTTCTGCAGGCTTGTAGCTAAATTAACTAGTTGTCACTCATGTGCAATAAAACTTAAGAGTCTGTTAACATTATGGGACTAAAATATGGTCAAAAAAACATTAATTTGTTGTTGCTTACTTGCACATTGTTGAAATCTATGGTGAGAGCTGTGAAAGGCTCTGTGAGAGCTTTGTATCCTCCGGGCAGCCTGCTGAGTCTCTCCGTGGTGTATGGCTCCATGGAGTCATCAGCCTCCGAGCTGCAGCTCACTGGACTGCGGAGTTCTCCGGCTGCAGCCATCGACAGACCGCCCACTTCTGTCACACAGAGTCTGCATGGGGAAAAAAAACAAGTCCTGAGAGGTCCAGATCACTTGGACTGTTGACTCAACAACAACAAAAGCTCAATTGCACTGAGCTGACACATCTACAGTATGATTTACATTAAGACAGTATAATATATAAGATCACTGCTGAGACAGACCTGTGATGCCGGCGGATCTCAAGGCACTCAATAGCCATACAGAACACAGTTGCTCCTGCTGGGATGACCCGTCCTGTGGTGGACACTTCTTCAAATTCATTCTCACCGCTCTAAAAAGACAACCATGTTAAAAATACATCAAAAATAAGCTGCTCAACTCAACACAAACACAAAAACTTTCCAGACAAAAATGCAAATAAGACACATCAACACACAAATAAAAGTTCAAGTTTACTCCAACCAACTTCTCATTAGGAAGTCCAGACCAGCTCAGAATGAAACATTGGGCCTCATGCAAGAACCGTTTGTACGAACAGATTTGTTCTTAAGTTGTGCGTAAGAGTAATTTAGGAGAATTTGTGGCATTCACCAATTTTTTCGTATTCTAAGATTTTTTTTTTCAGATACGAACAAAATTCACGAGTGGTCCAGACCTGTCGTATATTTTCCGAGCAGTCAGTCTGCTGTTATCCAGATGGATTTTCTTTACTAATTACGTTATATTTTGTTATTTAGAAAATATTTGGAGTTGAAAATAAATCACACGCCATAATTATTTTTGACAATAGGTTATTCTGTTTGAATTGGAATTATAATTTTAAATGTAACTAACGACAAATTGATTAGATTAATTTAAATTGGCTATTAATGCTGTTGTGTAACTACAATTTTAATATGAAGATTTCAAACTAAAAAACTTAAATTATGCATTAATTGAAGTTTGGAGACATTTTAAAATGGACTAGAGAGAGATGAATATGATTTATATTTTTATTTCTGTGTCTGTATACAATCCACGGGAGAAATTAACAGCAGTCATTTCATTCCTTTGCTTTAGCTGGTCCTTTAATTCCACGACTGATGCTGCTAAAAATGACAGATTTTCATTTCTCGATCTCATAGAGCAGGACTTCAATCTCCGAACTCGTAAAGTTCTTCTTTTTACTTTTCGTTGTCATTTTCATGAATGGGCACTTCCTGATATCTGAGGCAGGAAACATAGCCTTTTATGGTGCTTTTGGGGTGGTAATTATGTAAATTACCTCTCCGCGTGAACGAGCAGCTAGATACGAACAGGTGCAAATCATCATGTTTACACAGCTCATTTACAGACTTTTCCTGAAGATAGAAGAGTTTATTGAATCTGACGAGGCATGCTCGTACCAAGGGTCCGTATGAACAAAAGTAAGAGAAATTTAGGATAAGAATACGAACATGTTCTTGCATGCGGCCCAGTGTGGAAATACAGAATTAATGGTGACCAGATGTAGACAATCGCATTAATTGCTGCTTTATGTTTGTTTCTGCTGACCTTTACTCTAAGAGGTTCAAAACAAAGCAGCTGGATTTTGTTTCTTGTTTGTGAAGACAAACATGAAACAAAGTCCAGTTGCTTTGTTTAAAAACTAGGATGTCCTGATGCATCTCAGTAATCCAGGTAAAAAATCAAAAAGAAAAAAAAAACTGTGTAGGTCCTCTGGACGGGTTCTTCTCTAATGAAACGTTTCGTCTCTCCTCCAAGAGACTTCTTCAGTCTGAGAGTTTCAGGCAAAATTCAGGCTTTTAAGCCCTGCCTCCGTGTGACTGATACTCACATCACATGGCTATCGTTGACACCTAATTAACACTTATTGTTAACAGGGGGTGGAGCAATACTGGCAATGGCCGCGCTGTAGGAGGGGGACAACTGAAAATGGAGGTCTTCACCTCTGTTTAATGATGGACGGTCTTTCTGCACAAAAATGGCTTCTTTTACTCCTCTCTCAAACCAACGTTCCTCTCTATCAAGAATGAGAACATCCTCATCTCTGAAAGAGTGACCGCTGGCCTGTAAATGAGTGAAAACTGCAGAGTTCTGGCCATTAGACGTAGCTCGTCTGTGTTGGGACATTCTTTTGAACAGTGGCTGCTTTGTTTCCCCGATGTATAACTGGTCGCAGTCCTCCTGGCACTTAACAGCATATACAACATTGCTCTGTTTGTGCCGGGGCACCGGATCTTTGGGGTGAACCAGCCTTTGCCGTAATGTGTTTTGGGGTTTGAAAGCCACTGGGACATCATGTTTAGAAAATAAACGTCTCAGTTTCTCCGAAACACCTGCAACATACGGAATAACCACTGGTTTGGGTCTGGGTTTGGGGTCTTCATTTTCACCTGAAGGTTGCACGGAATCCTGTCTGTGTTTCCTGTCTGCTTTCAGGAAAGCCCAGTCAGGATAACCACACTGCTCCAGGGCCTGTCGTGTGTGTGATTTCTCTTTCTCCCTGGCTCCTGGGTTTGTAGGGACACTGTCTGCTCTGTGGTACAGAGTCCTGATCACTCCTAACTTGTGTTCCAGTGGGTGGTGGGAGTCAAAACGCAAATATTGGTCTGTGTGGGTGGGCTTACGATATACGCCAGTTTCCAACCGTCCTCCATCCAGAACCGAGACATCGCAAAAAACTAGGATTAGCCCATTTCCAGGACTGTCTTTACAAACATGTTGTAACTGTTCAGTTTATGTGTTAATGCTCAAGGCAAAGTGTTGATCCATTTATGTGGCCTTAATCTGTTTTTAGGGGGATGGCAAACATCATACAAGTTAAACTAAATACATCAAGAGTCCATCTTTATAAAATAAGTGGCATCCATTTGCAACTGAATGTTTCCTGGTCGTGTGTGAGGCTTACCTTTGGAGGCAGCAGGAGGTGGTGCCAGGCATGAATGAGACTCTCTATGATGCCCTCTCCAAACAAACCTGCATCGACTGTCTCGGTCACCACTAACGACACCCTTATGCAGAGAAAATAGTTTTTCATGAACTTTCAAACAGAACATTCAACATAACAGACAACAGAAGCACAACTCTACAAAGTTCAAAGTAAATTCATGAGAAAATGCACCTGCGTGGGATGTCTGCTGGCACTTCCATCTCAAGGGATTTCTTATGGAGGATGCTGATGCTGCCGTCCATCCCGTTGGCAGCCACCACCTCACAAGCCAGCTCGTACATGGTCTTTGACAGCTCACAGGCAAACACCTCAGCAGCCCCCGCCTTCTTAGCACACATTCTTGATAAACAGAAACAGGATGTTTGAATGAGATGTTTCATACTCACAATTAAAACCCTGCATCTGGCACCATCTGTGGCAAGTGAGTTAATTTATTTAAAATAAGAACTTGCAAAAGCTAATTGCTTAAAAAATACATATTCCAATGGGAAATATCTCACCCAAGTATTCCAGTGCCAGTACCTATGTCAAGTACAGTGTTGCAGCCGCTCTGAACAGCCTTCTGAATGGCTTGCTGGTACTTTCGGTTCCTGCCTCGGTCATTGAGCATAAGGAAATGCCAACGCTCCACCAGCCAGTTGGCCACACGGTAAAAGTTCTCTCTGGCTTCTGGGTAGTCTGGTCTCAGCTTTAAGGCTTTGTGGAAATGACCTGCAGCTTCATCTCTAAATCCCATTCTGAATGAGAAAAGACAGAAAAGGTCATGGCAAATGGCATAAACATTTGTGAGTTTATAAATATGTTTTAACAGTTTTAAAAGAATAGTACCGGAACAGGTGTTCGCCCATACTGTTGAGGATGACCTCGTCGTCAGGAAAGACTTCTAGAGCCTGTTCGTAGCAGTCAAACAGTTCCTGAATGCGTCCCACAGAGTCTAACTCTTCTGCCCATTTGAAGAGAGTGAAACGAAATGAGTCCTGAAACGAAAATGTCACAGATTTTTGGACTCTGCTGCAATATAAAAATGGCAAATACACAGTAGAACAAATGTTTTTTGTGAATGAATAAATTAATGAAAAATTAACTTATTACCAATGGAATAAATTCAAAACATATATTTTGGAAAGCTGCCAACTTAGTCTGCAATGTCAATAAGAAATTAAAGCAGAAAAAATAAATGACATTTCTTAAACTCTGACTTAGACTTTTATGTGAGATGTTTTGAAAGAAAAAAAAGATACATTTTGGGGGAAAAAGTGTTTTGTACTACTGAGATTATACTGTAACTTTAAGGATGCATTAAAAACAGATGGCTGCTTCTTACCCTAAAAAACAAGCAGGTGAATAAAACATTTGGTTTTCAGCTTCAGGGGAAAAAACACTTTAAATGAAAATACAACAGGTCCTACAACTGGATAGTCAAAAATGAATCAGTGTCCGCAGTCAACTACAAGAAGAGGTGCCAACAGATGACTTCTGTAGATATAACTTTTATAAAAAGAGTGCAAAATAATTAACAAATCTTATAAAATCAAAAATATTTAGCAAAATAAAAAGCGGACAAATAGGATAAAACGTTGCTGAAAAAAATACGAAGGCTGACAATAGGGTATGTAATTGATCTTCAATTATGAGATAAAAGGCTTTTTTTTCCTTTATGTCTTTTAAACTTGGGTTTTGTTCTTGCTTAGCAGATAATTGTATAAAATAGATATTTGATAAATGCACATCACACTATTTTGGAGGGGAAATTATGCCATTACCTTTGCAAAATTCTTAAACACAGGTGCGAGGCTGAGGACCAGAAGGTAGTGCACAAAAGCCGTTCCATAATCCTGGTTGTAAAGGCACTGCTGGGCACTCTCCAGAGAACTGGAGACCAGCTGGTCCCTGGCAGGGTCCTCCTGTCTGCGTCGTCTGCGAGTCCTCCTGCCATGCTTGGGCCTTGCACTGGTATTAGGCATCCTTCAATGAAAATCAGTGATATTTTTTTAAGATATATTATGCTAACTGCGTTTGTGCATCCGTGAAGTATTTATCTGTGCATCTAGTTTATTTTATTATTAATATTATTTAATGCAGGTTTTCCAGTTTATGCTCCATTTATCAGGACTAAAAACATTAATTACTTGTGATATTTTAGGTTAATTTTTTTAGGACATAGTAGCTTAAGTAATTTGGATGCAAGTCAACATCTTTTAAAATTATATATCCATAATGATATGGCATGTGGTGTGAATAAGCTTACTTGTGATTCATCAACTTGCTTTCATCTCGGTGCGTTTGTTTCCGAACATTAAACTTGAGAACTTATAACAAAATGCTCACGGACATGCATCATGGACAGAGTTTTAGGCACACTTACTTACTGTGAACACAAGATTCCAGGCAGGGTTTTGTGATGGAAATGCAAGCATCAAGTCAAACCGGGTGCCGTCGTCAATAATACCCCCAACACGCTATCGTAAACACCATACACATCCTTAAAACATCCTTCTCCTTACAGCAGACTGAAACTAACCCACATGAAAACTTTTAAGAAAGTCACTACAAATATTTTTGCTCCAATTCTGCTCATATATACATTTTACCATTAGCTATATAAGACAATAACCCACGTTTTTACTCTGAATCGCTTATCCAAAAAAAATAACCAAGTGCGGTGCGTTCTAAAGTCCGCGCGCAAAACGGGCACGGGCACAAATCATTCCTGAAAGAAAGGTTCCGCTTTTTTGTAGACACGTTTAATTGGTTTTAAATTCATAACAGGATACACCATTGATGTATTATATACTAAAATGACAACAAGAAGTGTTTTAGATTCGCATATATGTGTCGATATTTATTTAACAAGCGATTCATGGCCAATGTTTGCCCGTCAGATTTATTGTAGGGGATTACAAAATCAAAGAGTACAAGAGATCAAGAAAGTTCACTTTCACTTAAAAATGTGTTTTCATTACAGAATCTTTTTTTTCAGATGGAGATTACTTACTGACGATTTATGATTGACGTTAGCTTCATCCACTGATATCATCTGTTGTAATAATTTGCACAAAAAGTTGCCAATATATGCACAAATAAATTACTGTTGCTTGCCTGGCAATTTATGCACTAGAATACATCTATATAAACATATAACAGTGAGGAGAAAATAATTAAGGCAGCAGAGACAAAAAAAAAAAAAAAAAAAAAAAAAAAGTGAACTATGAGCTTCAGTGCATGGGGGTGGACCTGAGTACCCAGGACCCAAGAAGGGAGAGGGGCCCATGGAAGTCCTGATTTTATTTTTTGGCATGGATAGAGGCCCACTGACATCGAGAGTGTACAGGGTCCAGAGTTTGGTGCTACACCCCTGCTTCAGTGTATAAAGGAAAACATGGTGCTCCTCTCTTAAATATGCTCGGTGACACTGACACAGGTATCTAGGCTTTGTGATTTGAAAATGTGCACCGTGATCTCATCGAGTAATCACTAAACACTGGCTCAGTGTGAAATTTATTTTGTTGGTTTGCAGGACATCATTTGGCCTTTACAGTGCTTTTTATATACTTTAAAACGTCGTATTGCACTATGTTACAGTAATATCTTGCTCACTGTTGTGTTTTTAAATCTCTAATGTTTTTTTCTCATTTTGGTAACAAATTTATGCACTTTATAGAGGACCTACTGTATAAGAAACAATAAGAGGTTTAAAGCTAAATTGTTTGCCAGCTTAAGAGTTTTTTTTCTTTTACGTTTTTAAACATTTAACAATCCATAACCATTTTTTTTCTCTTGAGCATGTTATTTATGACTGTTATTTACAATGCAGAGGTAACTTTTTCAAAGATGTCATAAATTAAAAAGAGCCTTTTGGAAAGACTGGAAATAAACAGTATATTTTCAGAAACTGTCAAACCTTTGGGTAATTTTTACATTACCACATTTGTGTTTCTCACTGTACAAATAAAATGTAAGATTTTGCAAAATGTTAAATCAAATTTGTCACAGTACTGAATTTTGAAGGTTGACATATTATCCAACAGAAGAAGACAACAACAACTTGTAATAACCAAAAGGAACTAACTCAGAGCAATACACGATAGTTTTAATGCAGACTTAAACTTTTCTTACCTCTGTGGACACATAAATCCTGCTTGACCACCTGGTGAATATGACGTAAGTGGGACTGAACCATCTCGCACAAGTACATACTCTTTGACGGCAAGTTCGCTACACGCACGCAGATGTCAGCAGAGTTTCTCAATCTGTCACTTCACTAGGTGGAGTGCCTTTGATGGACAATGAAAAATCTGGACGCTGCAGCTGTAACTTTTTAGTCTGCCCCCTTTTTTTGCTGGACTTCTGATGAACTTTTCCCTCGTGTTGTCGTCACCTTTTAATAGTTACTGTTAGCCTTTCCTCGCTTTATTTGACAGCAGGGGAAACAACACCCAGCATGATCCACCCGTGTCAGAAGTTACCATGCTAGCTAGCGTTAGCCGCTGCTACTTGACGTAGCTATGTTTTTTCAGACTGACCTGACCCGAAAAGAGCACCAGTTTTGATAGTGACCGGACTTTTTTTCTTTTCTTCCTGTTTTCACTGCCTGGTAGTAAGGATAATTTGGCCAGTATCTCCGTTGTTGAACAAGAAGCTATCAATCTGTCACAGACATGGGACTACACCCGCTAGAGTTTAGTGAGTGCTATTTGGACAGCCCCAGCTTCAGGGAGAAGATAAAGGCACACGAAGCAGAGCTGGACAAAACCAACAGGTTCATCAAAGAACTGTACAAAGATGGGAAGAACCTCATTAATGCGACAAAGCGTAAGTTGGAAAGTGTAAGAAAAGTCCACGCAGGGCAGACACACATTTCTTTTCACTTACAGACATCAGTGATATGTTAGATTTGACAGATGATCTTTATTATCCTGAGCAGACAGGCGTTGACTTTTTCAATTTGTGTCAATATTATTTGTGTATTAAGAGGGCAGTAGTAATTGCCACAGTAACCCATACGTCTTATTAAAGTCTTACACTATTTTATCTTAATTATACCAGTCTCAGATTATCCATTGGCACAGCTGTAGTCTTGTTTGCCCAGTGACCTCAGCACATAATCTACATTGGACATCTCTCAGCAAGTCCTGTTGGAAAATCCCAGGTTTGCTTTTCCATCAGTGCAAAATACAGTTAAAAAAATAATATAGTAGTATAAGTAATTCATAGCCAAGTCATTTCTCAGATAGTCTAATCGGTTAGGCTTCATGGTGACAGGCGATGAAACAATTTTTGGTACTTTCAGGGGCATTTTGGGCATATTTTAATATCAAGATTGACCATGAATGTATTTTCTTGGTTCACGACAGTGTGTGTTATTAATGTGATATTTTACTGTCTTGTGTGTCAGGAACACGCCCTCTACAGACACTAAACCCATACAGTCCCATCAGGCTTTGTTGATTCACTCTGTTGACACACATCATGTGTCATTTGGGCCACCTTTCTGCAGAGCTAATTTTCCTTATGGTGTAACTTGTATCTGAAAAGCTCAGCTTGGCCTTCAGCTACTCTTACTCATTCTGCATCACACCATCCTCTTGTACCGTACATGACTGTTGTGCTGAGTTGCTGTCAGGCTGTTTGCATACTTCCTGGAGCTCCTATTATCACTGCAACTATTTCTGAAAAACATCAGCTTTGCCACATGTTGCCTACGCTGAGATTGTAGAAAAGAACCTTTGTGTTAAATGCACTGTGTCATTTCAGTTATGTTTACATGCCGTCACGTCCAAAATTTAGCATCTTTATTTATGTTGCAGCCAAGTGCTTTAACCAATAGATTCTGCGTGAAGCATTGTGGTGAACAAGTTTGCAACCAAAACACAGATCAGATGATACTGATGCATAGCTGAGTTGGTGTCAACCAGCAGCATCTCGTAGTTCCTGCAGGACATGCCATGTCTTGTATTTCATGCTTTATGTGACTGTGGCGAAGACATGTGCAACTGTTTTGCTGTCGATCTTAAAGTGAGTCCCACACTTTGGCACTGAGCTCCTCATCTGCGTACTCTGATTAGGTCTGCGTAAAGCATACGAGTGTGACGTTAAACCAGAAAACTTAATGGTGGCTTCCCATTAGGACTATTGCAAAATCAGCTGAAAATTCAGGAAGGAACTGTTTATCGTCTTCTAATGTGCTGACGTGACATTTTATCTGCCTAATTCACAGTGTCGAGAGGCTCAAAGTGTTGCTTTTAACTTCAAGTAATGTCAAAACATTTTATTATATTATTTCATCACAATAACTGGGAGCAATTTATGCCGCAAGGCATTTAGTTTTAGCTTCTCAATTGAAAGAACAGTTGCATAGACCTATTCAATACTGTTGTCTTTTTGCTGAAGAAAAAAATATATATAGTTAATGATTTGGGCCTAACAACAAACAACAGATGAATAATCATTTTAGCAGAAGCTAATGATGAAATGAGGAGAAAATATTGCTTACTAGCTTCTGTACAAGTGTATTTACTGTGTCTAAACAAGAAAATTTGGAAAATTGTGTCAAGTTCCACATTTTTCAACCTTCTCCATTTATTTTGGGAAGCCTTAGACCCGTTAGTTTTACATGGTCATACCAGATTGTTGCATTTTCCTGTAGATACAATTTAAGCATTACCCCTACAGTTACTCAAACTTTATAAACAAAATGGATACAAAATAAAGCTAAAAATCTCTGTGAGTTGTGAATCAGTGTTAGTAAATATGTGGCGAAATCAATCTCATGGTACATGTTTTCCTTTTTCTTGTAATTTTACAACTATTAGAAAAGAGAAACGTTTCCCTAATTTTGAATGTCTGGCCGTTACAGAAATGTAATGTCCGATGACCCGAAGAGGTCCCAAGTGTGAGTCCAATGTTCTCTACAAATGATCAGATTGTTTAAACATCACAACACACATTTGTAAGCTTTTTGTTCAGTTTTCAGCCTCTTGTCCTTCGTTTTCTTGTATGAGTGAGATAGTAAGGTTCACCATACCTTGACTCATTTAAGTTTGATGATTTACTTACCTCACATCGTAATTTTCAAGTAAAAACACAAGAAAATGCTGTTGACAAATATGAGGATGTTAATCATTTAAAAAAAAGCTGAATATTTAACCTCTCAGATAGTTTGAGTCTGTAGTTTCCTAGAAATTAGAGGTTAAAAATAAGGCTTTTACAGAATAGTTTTTAAAATATTTTTTAAACAAATCTTTTGACAAAATGCTTTAGGCCATAAAGGGTTAAGTAGAAGCAAATAAAAATGTTTTTTCGTTTACGCACGAGGCGGAGCTTGGCTCCTGTCCAGCTCTCATGCGGACATTGCTCCCGTTTATGATGTTTCATGTGAGTACGGACCAAGGAGCCGTATCTCCTCTGCACATCATAGATTGTGCAAAATAGCTGCAGTTTTCTTCCTGCTAATGTGCTTGTTTGTAGTTTGCATCTTTGAAGCTGATAACGGCTGACATTGTGGAAGAATTTGTTCTCTCTTGGATTTGATGGGTAGAATAGAACCTGAGCTCTTAGACTTTGTGGATTTGACAGTTCACATAAAGGACTGATTATCTGCCTGTAAACACATAAACGGACAGCACTGACTGACCTGTCTCCTAAACTAGAACTGCATGATAAAATAGCTTTGCGATGACCTCTGAATGATCTGGTGTTTGCGCAGTGTCTGACGTCCAGCTGTTGTCCGCCCTCGGCCCACCCGTAACTCCCTCGGCCACTGCAGCTGGGAGGATGTCCCGCTGTGGAAAGTCCTTGGTTCTGAGAGGAAACTTTGAAACAGGACCCTGGCTGCACAAAGCCATGACATGGAAGTACCCGCTTGTGGAGCAACATGCAGATGTGCTTCTGTTTTAGAGGGTTTCCTCTGCAGGAAGTGTGTTCTGTCTGGAGTACACTTAAGTTCACATCATTGTCTTTAGTGTTCGAGCTCTGATTTGTTTGTCTACAAAAGTTTTCTATCCATTACTTAAAATAATAATAATAATAATAATTGCATTCAGTGTTATCTGAATTAGTAGAAGTATGTTGTTTTTCTGTGTTGTGTTTTCTGACACACTTAAGACAAACTTGCATAAAGTTTCACTGTTCTGTATTTTGTGAAATCCATTTTGAAAACAAGCCATATAAAGGTCTCTCTCCTTGGCAGGCAGCATTTAGAGTTGCCTGTTTTGGTGTGTTTTGGCTCACTGCTCCTGTCTGTGATCAGATTACATGTTCTGTCCAAGAGCCGTGTTACAATCCTTCATTAAACTCACATTAGCACAAGAGGTGAGTTTATGTAGCAGAGAAGTATTTTATTAATTTCTGTAGAAGGGTGGTTGCCTAATATTTGGGTAGGAACATGTTTTATGGAAATATTTTTGTTTACAAAACAATATTTAGACATTACTCGGCCGTTTAGTTGAGACTGACCGGATGCTTTCCAGTGCTGCCTCACCCTGCACACTTGTTTTGAGACTCAGGAAGTCATGAATGAAGTAATGCAGGGTTTGTGGGTAGGGAGTTACGGAGGAGGGGCATGGTGGTAGGGCATGTTTTGGGAGGCAAAGGTTGGAGGCAAGTGGAGCAAAATTCCAGCCTGGATAAGAGCGAAACGGGAAGCACTGTGTGGAAACTCAAGGGGCTGGGACCGGGTCTCCTGACCTGAGTGGCACATCTGATCACACTGCAGAAATCATAACAAACAACCTGCCTGCATAGACACCAATTAATACACTGTGGATTTCTCCAGCAGCTGACCTTTGACCTTCAGTCAAATGTTATGGTTTGTTATTGGAAAACATTTTCTGCAGCATCCAGGACAGGTCGAGTTATTTTCCCTGCTTTAAAATGCACAAGAAGTAGAAATGACCTCATGTAATTGCAGATTATTATCTTAGCACCCCTATGTTTTTTTATTAAGATAATATAGATATGGTTTATACTAAAATGTGCTGCCAGTAACTTTAGGATTGACAACAAGCATAAAATGTGTTTTGTTTTTTTTTTGTTTTTTTTGTGTCATATCGAGGTAATATGCAATTATGTCTCATTCTGCACAAGACCCTGGCAAGAACTGAACTGAAGATTGTCCAGTGTTGTGTCATGAGTTGAACCTATTAAACCACCAAGTTAAAATACCTTTTTAAACAGTTAAAATATTTTATTTTCTGCTTTTGAATCAGTTAATTTCAAGGATAGCTGTCACAGCTAATTGGCTTATGAAACACATAAATAACTAATGCTGGCAGTTTACAAGGCTACAATTTGGTGTCTGAGAGACACTCCCATCAAAAACTCTGAGCCTGGTGTAAGGCACAAAATGGGTGTTTTATTAATTTTACAGAAAAGTTGCTACAGTTGGGTGGGACTGTAGCTGTGAGTCATGCTCTTTATTTATTGTAGAAATCTTTTAGCAAAATTTTAGCAATAAATTTTGGTGTCAACTTTGTTTATCTAAAGCACAAATTTTCACAAATGAATGGGCAGATTTTGATTTTCAGAACAAAATCATTCAGGGCACATCTATAACTGAATTTTATAATTACTTTGTTGTAGAAACTGAAAGACATTCACAACAAGAGCATTGTACATTGTGATTTTTTTTAAGGTTAGACCAAAACGGCAAAACTCCACCATTTCTCAATATCAGCTAATTATAGTGTAAACCTCTGGTATGGATTGTGGACATTCCATCAAGTAATTCCATGGCTTTAATTTTTTTTAAAGAGTCAGTTGATTGGTTTATCAGCGAGACATAAACCAGTCCACTTGTATTATGGACATGTGTT